ATCAAACTAAAAAGCTTCTACACAGCAAAGGAAACCATCAACAAAATGAAAAAGCAACCTACTAAATGAGGCAAAATATTTGCAAATCATATATCTGATGTTAATATCTAAAATATATAAGGAACTCATACAACTCAATAGCAAAAAGAAAATTCTGATTAAAAATGGACAGAAGAGCCAGACTCTGGTGGCTCAGTGGTTGAGCATCGACCAGAAGATCATGGTTCAATCCCTGGTCATGGCACAAGCCCGGGTTGCAAACTCGATCCCAGTAGGGGTGTGCAAGAGACAGCCCATCAACGATTCTCTCTCATCATTGATGTTTCTAACTCTCTCTCCCTCTCCCTTCTTCTCTAAAAATCAATAAAAATATATTTTAAAACATGAACAGAAGATCTAAATAGACATTTTTTCCCAAAAAGACATACAGCTGGCCAAGAGGTACATGAAAATGTGCTCAAAATCACAAATTATCAAGGAAATGCAAGTCAACAACAGTGAAATATTACCTCACACCTAACAAATGTTGGTGAGGGTGTGGAGAAAAGGGAACTCTTGTGCACTGCTGGTGGGAATGCTACTGCTGCAACCACTTTCAAAATAGTATGGAGGTTCCTCAAAAAATTACAAATAAAACTACCATATAATCCAGAAATTCCACTTTTTTTTTAAATATATTTTATTGATTTTTTACAGAGAGGAAGGGAGAGAGATAGAGAGTTAGAAACATCGATGAGAGAGAAACATCGATCAGCCACCTCCTGCACATCTCCTACTGGGGATGTGCCAGCAACCCAGGTACATGCCCTTGACCGGAATCAAACCTGGGACCTCTCAGTCTGCAGGCCAACGCTCTGTCCACCGAGCCAAACTGGTTTCGGCTAGAAATTCCACTTTTTGACATTTTTCTGAACAAAACAAAAACACTATCTCAAAAAAATATATGCAATCCCATGTTCATTGCATCATTATTTACAACTAGTAGCCCGGTGCACGAAATTCGTGCACATGAAAAGAGAATTAATTGCCCTAACTGGTTTGGCTCAGTGGATAGAGCATTGGCCTGCAGACTCAAGGGTCCCGGGTTCAATTCTGATCAAGGACATGTACCTTGGTTGCGGGCACATCCCCAGTGGGGAGTGTGCAGGAGGCAGCTGATCAATGTTCCTCTCTCATCAATATTTCTAACTCTATCCCTCTCCCTTCCTCTCTGTAAAAAATCAATAAAATATATTTTTTTTAAAAAAGGGAATTAATTAGCAAACTGGCCACCTGTCGATTCCGTGAGGAAAGGGGCTCCCTCCTCCCTCCTGTCAGGGTCCGGGATGCAGGAGAATGAGGTTCCTGGCTGGCAGGCCACTGACAGCAAGCTATCCAACAGCAGATTGTGTGAGGAATGGGGCTCCCTCCTTTCTACTGTTAGGGTCTGGTTTGAGGGTCGGCCATGCCCCCTGTTGGGACAGATCCAGAGTTCTACCACACCGTGGCCTCCACTTCAGCAACCCAGGACTGACTGCTGCTGGGCGCTCCTGGTGCTCTGAGACCACACGGGAAATAGCTGGGGAGGGCGCAGCCCTTGGCAAAACGACCCAAGACAACCCTGCAGGACTGACTTCCTTCCGCTTGGTCGAGCTCCTGGCTTGATGTTGCACCCAAACAGCTCCGGGAAACAGCTCGGGGAGGGTGCAGCCCTTGGCAAAGCAACCCAGGATTCAATGGGTCCACACTCTGAGGGCGGGTTCCTGCCTCAAACCCCGCCCTCACCAGAAACAGCTCCGGGAAACAGCTCCGGGGAGGGCAAAGCTGTTGCCAAGATAACCCCTGCAGGACTGACTTCCTTCCGCTTGGTTGTGGTTCTGGTGGTCGTGATGAACACCACCCAGGGTTTTAGATAGCCAAATATCAAAGCAACCTAAGTATCCATTGATAGATGAATGGATAAAGAAAATGTGATATGCATTTTTTCCTCAGACATAAAAGAAAGAAATCAGTCATTTGTAACATGGATGGACCTTAAGAGCGTTATGCTAAATTATGTAAGTCAAACAGAGAAAGACAAAAATCATATGATCTCACTTATACATAGAACCTAAAAACAAAACATAAAAACTCATAGATACAGAGAAAAGATTGGTGGTTGCCAGAGGTGAGGGGCAAAATGGATGAAAGTGGTCAGGAGGCACAAATGGCCAGTTATAAGATAAATAAATTCTGTGAATGTAATGTACAGCTGGGTGGCTATAGTTGATAATACCATATTACTTATTTGAAAGTTGCTAAGAGAGTACATCTTAAAAGTTCTCATCACAGGAAAAAACAATTGTAACTGTGTGATTATGGGTGTTAACTAGGCATTGTGATCATTCTACAATTTATACAAATATTGAGCCTCTGTGTACACTAGAAACTAATATAATGTTACATGTCAATTATATCTCAATAAAAAAATAAGTTAAATTTATGCCAAGAGATGCTTCCCACAAATTCATTTAACAAACACGTACTGAGTTCTTATGTTGATTTAGTAGCCATGCTGGCCATTGGAGACATCAGTACAAAAAAGGCAGTCTCTATCCTCCAGGAGTCCCTGGTTATAGCAATTTCTGCTCTTCTGATTCTCACACACTGAGTGCATTAGGCATAATTACCTGACAAATAGTGAAGCAAATAAATATTCATCCCCTGCTCAAACGTTAAGAAAGAGAGATGCAAAGGGCCTGCACTTCTTTCACATCTTATGCCTTGTATTTCCCCCAGGATCAAAAGCAGGAGGGAGAGAACCAAGATGGCGGCATAAGGTACAAACCTGTGTGTGCTGCCCCCCCCCCCAACAACATTAAAACCACAACTATAAGACAAAACAGCTATCATCCAGAACCACGGGAAAGCTGATCGAGTGGAAGTTCTACAACTAGAAGGAAAGAAAAAAGCGCACTGAGACCGAGTAGGAGGGGAGAAGCACCAAGAACAGAGGTACGGGCGCACGGGAGGCTGCTGCACCTTGGTACACGGTTTTTTTCAATCAGAAGGGGACAAGCTCTCAAAAGCACTGAACTCATTTACGGCGAGACGCCGGGGTCCCAGGCTCCTACGGGGAGAAATGGGACTGTCTTGCAGCGGGTCAGAAAGCGAAGGTGACTTTCTCACACAGCTGCTCGCAGGGATCATTGTTGCTGCGGGGGCGTGGCACTCGGGGAATCGCTGACTACACCACTGTTGTTTGCCCCGCCCTGGGAATTCTCTGAGACCCCGCCCCACTACATCCCCTCCCAAGCTATGCTCAGTGGCACAAAGGAGGCACCTGCACTTTTGCAGCCTAACAAACTGCAGTGAAGCACAGAGCTCCAAAACTTCCAAACCCCAAACAAAGAGGAGAAATCTGTTCATATTGCTGTAGCCCCTGCTGGGTGGACCCACACAGTGGTTGACTTGGAGATCCAGGAGCCAGGGTACTCCGGGTCAGATACTAGACTTCAAATCCTCACATCTATAAGGGACACAAGCAAGAAGCAGACTCAGTGAGCACCAAAGCCCCACTGAAGCAAGTCCTACCTCATAAGGGTGTCTCCAGCACAGCAGTTCTTCTTATAGACACAGTGGCTCCTCGCAGTCAGCCAAAAATGCGAAGACAAAGAAACATGTCACAAATGAAAGAAATGGAGGAAAGCAAACTAATGGAGGACATAGAGTTCAGAACCACAGTTATAAGGTTACTCAAGAATCTTCTACAAACCTCCAAGGAACTTAGTGAGACCTTCAAGGATCTTAATGAGAATGCCAAAAAAATGGAAAAAGACCAGTCAGAAATTAAACATACACTGACTGAAATAAAGAATAATATACAGAGATCCAACAGCAGATGAGAGGATCCCAAGAATCAAGTCAAAGATCTGAAATACGAAGAAGTAAAAAACACCTATCCGAAAAAGCAAAACGAAAAAAGAATCCAAATATATAAAGATAGTGTAAGGAGCCTCTGGGACAACTTCAAGGGTCCCAACATCCGAATTATCGGGGTGCCAGAAGAAGAGAGAGGGCAAGATACTGAAAGCCTATTTGAAGAAATAATGAGAGAAAACTTCCCCTACCTGATGAAAGAAATAGACTTCAAGTCCAGGAAGCGCAGAGAACCCCAAACAAAAGGAATCCAAAGAGGACCACACCAAGACACATCATAATTAAAATGCCAAGGGCAAAAGACAAAGAGAGGATCTTAAAAGCTGCAAGAAAAAAACAGTTAGTTACCTACAAGGGAGTACCCATACGACTGTCAGCTGATTTCTCAACAGAAACCATGCAGGCCAGAAGGGAGTGGCAAGAAATATTCAAAGTGATGAATGCCAAGAACCTACAACCAAGATTACTTTATCCAGCAAAGCTATCATTCAGAATTGAAGGTCAGATAAAGAGCTTCACTGATAAGGAAAAGCTAAAGGAGTTCATCACCACCAAAACAGGATTATATGAAATGCTGAAGGATATTCTTTAAGGGATAAATACTACATGATCTCATTCATTTGTGAAATATAATGAACAACATAAACTGATGAACAAGGACTGATCCAGAGACGGAGAGGCATTGATTGGACTGTTGGGCTCTGGAGGGAAGGTGGTGGCGGGGGGGGGGGGGGGGGGGGGCGGGTAAGGAGGAGAGATCAACCAAAGGACTTATATGCAAGCATATAGGCCTAACCAATGGACATGGACAACAGGGGGATGGTGAGGGCATGGGGGGGGGGGGGGCGCGGGTAGGGGATAACGTGGGGATAAGGACACAGATGTAATATCTTAATCAATAAAAAATATATTTTTAAAAAAGCAGGAAATATGTTGTATAAAGTGTTCAGAGAAGGTTGTTCTCAAACAGAATCAGAGAAAACATAACCTCTGTGAGCTCTGGTGCACTTCACTGCTCATGGCCCAAGGCCATGAAGAGGCCAATAAAGACTGGAACTCAAGATCATCAACACAGATCAAGCCTTCTTCTCTGATACCCAGCCATGAAGCTCCTTTTTCCTGTCTTTGCCAGCCTCATGCTACAGTTACAGGTGGACACAGGTAATGTGGAATCCCGGGTTTTAGAGGGGTTGGTGTGAAGAAGCGGGGACTTAGTTATTCATGACAACGGGAACCCCAAGAGATGCTGAAAGATGAGTTGCCCAAAGAAATGGTTGTAGAGTCTACCTATTGCATCAGTTATGTGCCATCCCCCATGCATCCCCATAGGCTCAAACCACAGACTGTGTCTGATGGGGACACATCGGGAGCTCCCTAAAGCAAAAGCAGGGTGTTTTTTGTGGGGGGTTTTTTTGTGTACTCAGAAGCTATCCAACAGCCCGGCTGGCGTGGCTCAGTGGTTGAGTGTAAATCTATGAACCAGGAGGTCACAGTTCAATTCCTGGTCATGGCATATGCTTGGATTGTGGGCTCGATAGCCAATGTGGCGTGTGCAGGAGGCAGCTGATCAATGATTCTCTCTCATCATTGATGTTTCTCTCTCCCTCTCCATTTCTCTCTGAAATAAATAAAAATATTTTTAAAAAAGAAGAAGAAACTCTCCAACATACAAAGCTGCCTTCCTACCCTCTAGACAGAGCTATCATCTGGGTCTCAGCCCAAGTCTCCCTCATCTTTGCTCTATTTCTAATTTAAAACATCTCTTGAAGCAAAGGTTCCTATCAATTTGTACTTTGGTGTAATAAGGAGGAGACCCTTACCCTTATGCTTAAAAAAAAAAAAAAAAAAAAAAAAAAAAAATCTCTTTTAAGATCCAGTAAATAGGTCTATGTTCTCCATCTCAACTTTCTCAGATTTTTACAGTTTCATCCCTTCTCTCAGTCTTTTTTGTCTTGGAAACCCACAAGTTACCCATAAGAGTATCTGGGAATACACTATGGCAAAAGGCTGAAACAGGACTGGCCGCTGTCACTTGACAGGAAAAGCAAAGCATTGAGACATGTTTCAAAATACAAGAATCATCCAGATATTTGGAATAATTGGCAACGGGTCAGGGAAAGGAAAGTAAGAGTCCAGGATGTTTCTAATGTGTTTATCTCGGGATCCTAGGAGAAAGGGAGTGGCATAAGCAAGCGTGACTATGCCATCTTGGGTAAAACAGCTTAGCCACTGTGAGCCTCCAATGCCACCTGAGCGTAATTGGGTTAATCAATGTAGCTGCTTGAAATACACGAATTTTACTGTTTTGTCTTTGATGAGAAACAACGTTGGAATGTATGTGAACATTATGAGTTGAATTGTTAAGAGGAGAAAGAAAGAGCTTTCTTGATTCAGAAATAAAAAGGTGAGACATTGGGATGGAAAAAAAGACCATCCAGCAGATGAAGATGAGGTACTAAACTGAGCAGGGAACGCAGAGCTCCAGGTAACAATGTGGGAATTATCTTGGTAGCGGCGAGGTTATGGTAATAACTAATACCCCTGAGGAACAGAGTGTCCAGAGAGGCTGAAAATGACAGAACTCCATGCCCCAGGAAACACAGGTCAAGCCGTCGTCAAGGGGGGTAAGGTCATAAACCACTGCATTTGGCAAGATGCCAGCACTCCTGAAACTGCTATTAATTCTTCTTTGAAATTCTTTCTTGGACTAGTTTTATGACAGATTTTACTCCTGTTGGTATTTCCTAGGATCATGCGGAGAGATAGTGATGCCCTCCCTTCAAGTGTCTAAGATACTAAGTTGGAGGTCGAAAATCTTACCCAGAAGCATATAATTGGATTCCCTTTTCTTCTCTCTTTTGTGTGCCCTAGATTTTTAAAGTAACTCAGTGAGGGGAGACGAGAGAGATTTATTTTGGGTTTCACAGGTGTACAGAGACTCTCTCGGTCTTCCAGGGCCTTCATCAATGTTCCTAAACACTGCACTTAAGGCTTAGCACTAACAAACTCCCTCTTACCCGATTTCTCCCCCTCCAGCAGCTTTAAGATTGTATCTAGTTACTAACTTAACCCCGTTGTTTTTTCTTTGTGCAGAACTCTTTGGCTGGAAAAAATGTTTAATGGGTTTGGGGAGATGCAAAAACCACTGCACCGTGGATGAAAAAGAGATACAGAAATGCAAGAAGAAAAAATGTTGTATTGGACCAAAAACACTTCAACTGATAAATAACTACCTGCAAAATGAAATGCCCCATGGACGTGAAGAGGGCTCTGCAAAACAGCTAAAACCTATTAAGAATTCTAGGGCTGTGATACAAACAAAATATATTTTATCGCTCTCTCCCAAAATCAAAAGCCCTTTTGCCAACATCAACACTACCATTATCTCAAATGCCAGTGCTGTGAACCCTGCCATCACCAACGCCATGATCTTCGGAAAGATTACATACCCTGCTACTTCTACCAAGGGTGATACCAAGAAAAGCAGAGGTTCAGCCACTGACCTCTCCCCACCGTCACCACCACCATAGTAGACACTGCCGATACCACAAATGGAGCTGGAGCAAACAGATGAGCAAGGGATGTGGGTCTTTCCCTTAAAACACTAAGTTCCTCTCTATCTTTGCTATCTATTAAATAAGACATAGAACGGTTTCCTCTGCCATGAGTCATTCAGTAGGTACTGGTTAAACACCTAGAGTGTACACAATCTCATTCTCGCAGAGCCTCACAGAGGAGACCGAGTTGGAGAGGGATGGAATTTTCATTTACATGCCCAGGAGAAAGCAAGCACCGAGTGGTGACTCCTGCTCCACTGAATGTGGCCCGTGGATGACCCAGATCAGTTTCTGTAACAAGGACTTACGGTTCTCACATGGTGTTCTTTTCTTAGAGCAACGGAAAGGAAACTATCAAGAGACATATTTTCTTTGTTCCTAGATTTTGGGGGGCAAAGGCCCATATGCAAAATGGAATATGGGAGGGTCAAGTCGATTCCCCACAAAAGACCATAACCTAATTCACAAAGCCATTTAAGATAAGACTATGGAGGAATGGAGGAAGGAGGAAAGGATATGAGAGAAGGCACAGTAGAACGGTGCTTCCAGCAGATGCAGAATGCAGACTACAATGCAAACCAACTTTGCATTTTCTAGTAGCCACATTTTAAAAAGTAAAAAGACATAGGTAGAATGCATATTAATAATATATTTTATTTGATGTGGTAAATCCAAAACATTGTCATTTCCACAGGTACTCAATATAAAAAAATATTCGGGGTTTTTCGCATTCTTTTTTTGCACTAAGAATTTGAAATCTCAGTGTGTCTACAGCACATTTCAATTCACACTAGCCACATTTCACATGCTCAATAGTCCCATGTGGCTAGTAGCTACCATATTGGACAGCACCTGGTTGGAGAGTTCTGGGACACATATAGCTATAGCATTGTTAGGTAAAGGGGATGATCTAACCTAGAGGAGGCAGCCATATTTCTGAGGGCTGTAGTATAGAATTAAGAATATAGAAATCCAGGTCTGATGTGCCTGGGCTAGCATTCTGGTTCTGGTACTTTTTAGCTATGTGGGCATTGAACATATCACTTATCCATATGTGAGCATCCATTTATTCATTTATAAAATAGAAATGTAAACAAATTATACCCCAGAATCCATTTCCTTATATCTCAGGTCACACTTCCTTTTATTGCCCAAATTATAATGGCATGGGCCCCTATTCCAGTTTTTAACATATTATTCTCTGCTACATATTACCTCCATCAATTTAAAGGCCATCTTTCCTTAACCTACTGGTTCTTTACTATAGTGTCACCCCAAGAAAGGCAAAGATTTTCCCACAATGCCCTACAGTGATACTAGAGTGCAACTTTTTAAATTATGTGCCTGGACGTTTTTGTACAACAGGGAAAAAGTTGCTATGCAGAGAATAACTTCAACTGCAGCTACTTATGTGTTCCCTGAAGAACTCAAGTATATCTTATGGGCATTAGGTTTCCTCCCTGCTCCAGCTATTTGCCACTCTGCTTTTTTATTTTAATCACCACCGAGGATATGTTTTTATTGATTTCACAGAGAGTGGGAGGAAAAGGGAGAGAGGGATACACAGAAAGAGAGAGAGAGAACATCAATGTGAGAGAGAAACATCCATCAGTTGCCTCCCATATGCAATGCACCCCAACCAGGGATCGAACCAGCAACCTAGGTTTGTACCCTGATGAGAACTGAACCCGCAACCTTTAAGTGTAGGGATGACGCTCCAGCCGAGCCAAACTCTTGAAAGTCCAGCCTACCTTCCCACAGTTGGAGTGCTTTCTTCATGGTCTACCTGCAGAAAGAAAAGAAAGTGCCTATCTCACCTAAGTTTAAGGCTTCCTTTTGAATCCTCATTTCCTGTCAGAGAACTCACCCATCATCTCTTCTCAGGATGATTGATACTGGGGAATACCTTCCTTCAGGGAAATGTCACATGACAAATATGGTAAGTCTCCGAAATCTGCTCTCTCCTTTCACTTCAGTAGAATCCTCCTAATGTCAGCTTGGCCCAAGGCCAGCCAGAGTAAAAGCTACATTCACCAAGTGGAACAGCCATACTTTTATGCAAAGTCCAGAACTGGCCACTCTCGAAATTATGCATTAATATTATTGATGAACATAGAGTTTCCTTTTTATTTTTTTCAAAGAGTCTTATTTTATTTTATTTTTTAATGTTTATTGTTGAAAGTATTGCATATGTCCCCTTATTTTCCCCATTGACCCCTTTAGCCCACCCTCACCCCTCACCCCAGGCCTTCACCACCCTATTGTCAGTGTCCATGGGTGATGTATATATGCATACAAGTTCTTTGGTTGATCTCTTCCCACCCACCCCTGCCTTCCCTCTGAGGGACAAAGAGGGGCCTTTTTCTAAGCGTTGAGAGCCCCACAGTGACTGTAAGTTCTCCCTTGGGATTCTCCCTAGCACATCCTAGTGCAACCCCCAGACTCTGCTACTCAGGGTCTATGAGATTGGGATTCATGCTGCCACATACAGTGTTGCCCCCACACAGCACCATTCAGAAGCTGTGTGACTCTGAATTTTTCAAATCTCAGAGCTAATATTCGAAACCAGAATAATCAAATTACACACCCATGCACATCCCACTATCACTGCCTCTACAGCAAGCATGTCAAATTCAAACACGGGCCAAATGAACAAGGTTTAAGTTCATGTGGGAAAAAAAAAAAAAAAAAAAGCTTCAATTTTCATAGAAACGCAGGTTTACTACTATAGAGACATGCAGAGTACAAAGAGTTAAAATACTAGTAAATGAGTAATCATTAACATAAAATAATAGAACTTTTTAATAAAAATTGATTTTTTCTTTTTTTTTAAATAAATCTTTCTTGTTCAGATCATTACAGTTGTTCCTCTTTTTTCCCCCCATAGCTCCCCTCCACCCGGTTCCCACCCCACCCTCTGCCCTTACCCCCCCCACACACACTGTCCTCATCCATAGGTGCACAATTTTTGTCCAGTCTCTTCCCACACCCTTCACACCCCTATCCCCCCCGAGAATTGTCAGTCCACTCCCTTTCTGTGCCCCTGATTCTATTATATTCACCAGTTTATTCTGTTCATCAGATTTTTTATTCACTTGATTTTTAGATTCACTTGTTGATAGATATTTGTTGTTCATAATTTTTATCTTTACCTTTTTCTTCTTCCTCATCTTAAAGAATACCTTTCAGCATGTCATATAATACTGGTTTGGTGGTGATGAACTCCTTTAGCTTTTTCTTATCACTAAAGCTCTTTATCTGACCTTCAATTCTGAATGATAGCTTTGCTGGATAAAGTAATCTTGGTTGTAGGTTCTAGCAATTCATCACTGAATATTTCTTGCCACTCCCTTCTGGCCTGCATAGTTTCTGTTGAGAAATCAGCTGACAATCGTATGGGTATTCCCTTGTAGGTAACTGACTTTTTTTCTCTTGCTGCTTTTAAGATTTTCTTTGTCTTTTGCCCTTGGCATTTTAATTATGATGTGTCTTGGTGTGGTCCTCTTTGGATTCCTTTTGTTTGGGGTTCTCTGCACTTCCTGGACTTGTAAGTCTATTTCTTTCCCCAGATAGGGGAAGTTTTCTGTCATTATTTCTTCAAATAGGTTTTCAATATCTTGCTCTCTCTCTTCTTCTGGCACCCCTATAATTCGGATGTTGGTACGTTTGAAGTTGTCCCAGAGGCTCCTTACACTATCTTGATGATTTTGGATTCTTTTTTCTTTTTGCTTTTCCGGTTGGGTGTTTTTTACTTCTTCGTATTTCGAATCTTTGACTTGATTCTTGGGATCCTCTTGCCTGCTGTTGGATCTCTGTATATTATTCTTTATTTCAGTCAGTGTATGCTTAATTTCTAGTTGGTCCTTTTTCATATCTTCGAGGGTCTAAATTTATCGGCGGTTTCTAGAAAATTCTTTTTTTTTTAATTTATTTTTTTTATTGCTAAAAGTATTACAAAGGGTATTACATATCTGTCCTTTTTTTCCCTGCCCTTAACAATCTCTAGAAAATTCTTGAAAAACTTTATAACTGTAGTTTTGAACTCTATATCCAGTAGTTTGCTTTCCTCCATTTCTGTCATTTGTGACCTGTTTCTTTGTCTCCCCATTTTGGCTGCTTCCCTGTGTTGATAGAGTGGCCTTCTGTGCTAGGTGTTCTATAGGGCCCAGTGGCTCTGACTGGGACACTGGGGTGGACACTCTTGGTGCACCCCTTTGTGGGCTGTGTGCACAGTCTTGTTGTAGTTAAGCCTTGATTGTTGTAGGTATCACTGGGAGGAATTGACCTCCAGGCCAATTGGCTGTGAGAATCAGCTGTGTCTACAGTGGGAGAACTTCTGTACTGGAAACACCCTTCTGGGGCAAGACTTGCTTCAAGTCTTTGGTGCTTTGGTGCTCACTGAGTCTGCCCCCTGAGTGTGTCCCTTATGGATCTGAGGAGTTGTAATCTGGATGGTCCCAATCTGACCACTGGGTACACAGGTTCTTGGATCTCTAAGGAGGTGCTAATTTAGCCTCTGCCTGAGGCTACCCAGCAGGAGCTATGGAGAGATCTGCAGGTTCCTCTTCCTTGTTTGGGTTTTGGAGGTGCCCAGATGAGGCCCAGCTGTGAAGCAGTGCAAGCTGCTGTGGGGCCTTGGGCCTTCTTTTGGATGTTCTGGGTCTTTCTGACCCAGTTGCAGTTTGTTAGGTAATTTTAGATCTCAAAGGGCCAGCCCATTTATATGCAAAAGCCTCTGCTAGCAGCTTGGGTGGGGCAGAGACTCAGGAAATCAACAGGGCGGAGCAAACAGCTATGACTGATCCTCAGTCCTGCCCTAAGAGGTCCAGGGTCTCAGTGTCCTGGTAATCGCTGCAAGCACCTCTGAGAGAAAGCCGCCCTTGAGTTCCACCCACTGCGAGACAGACCAGTTTCTCCCCGTATGAGTCTGGGGCCCCAGAGACTCGCCCGGAACTGGAGTCAGGGCTGTCGGG